AATAATGTTAAAATAGTTAATCATTGGCTCAGTTGAATAAATGTATCATATAGGAGGAAAGGGCGCTGTCGTAGGTAAATTGCGCTCCATTAGATTTGGTTTTACTAGGTAGTCGCCGTAGATATGTTGTTAGCTCTCCCAACGTATACGTATCTGCAAGCGGCAAAGAGAATTCGTCTTAAACGTTAATTAGATGGGTAGATTGTACCACACCACATGCATTTTACTTCACACCAGGTAAAATTCCAATCGACCTACTAATTTCTTAAAAGGTAACGAGTTAGGAATCTATGCTTTCGCTTTTATTAGTAAGCTTGAGAAAATATTTATTCAGGAACGAAATTATTCAAAATAAAAAGATTCTTCCTAATGCGGTGTATACATTGCAGCTATCAAGAAAACGTTGCTTCAATCCAAAAAACATGGGTGTGGATGTTACTTTTAAGATGTTCAGCAAACTCTACCAACAATGAACTTGGCGAAAAACTATTATTTGAATCTCTGAACTCAGGGCATTTGCACATCACGTGGGATACCCGTCTCAAGAAGAGTTGACTGATGTGTAACGTAATTTTCCCTCAAGATTTTATTTAATTCCTCATTTATACGAGAAAGTAATCGTTCAATAATCTTCTTTTGCTCTTGATCGAAACAAATCGACGAGTTAAGACATTTAAAAAGTCAAGGAGGTTTATTCTTAAAGTTTAGGCATAACTTTGAAGGTTTGATTTCACTATAATTTTTTCTTTGATTATGCCATCGTTTTGTGCTGCTTACGGTAGATGCCTCTTGGCTGTCACTTCAAAATTCGTAGCAAGTTCGAAGTTTTAGAAATTCCAAAGCTTCCCACCTGTCCATCCAAGCCAGCTTCTCCTTGATCTCCAGTTTCCCCTCGAGGTCCACCGTCTCCTTCTATTCCTTGTGCTCCCAACTTCCCGGGCAGACCATCTCTTCCTGGTACGCCTGGATGACCATCTTCACCAGCAGGTCCTGGCGCTCCCGCAGGACAACGGATGCATCCTAAAATCATTGAATAGAGTAAAAACGCAAACGAGGTTCTGCCTCACCCTTTGGATATTCCATAGGCAAAGGAATATTT